ACCTAGGAAAAGTGGTGAGGAATTGCTTCGAGGAAAAATAATAGAACCAGAGTCTAATCTGTTCTGCCATGGAATTCTGAGTAGTCTGGATGAAATGTCTGTTCTTGAGCATACAGGGTGAAAAAATATGAATACAAAATGAAAAACAATCATAAACTTCTCAAAAAGCCAGATGGTTCAGACCAGCAACTCTGAGTTAAAACCTCAGGGAATAAAGGAAATAAGATAATTCTCTAATTACTTTTTATTTAACAAAACCTCTTGCTTTCGATTGTTAATTAGACACCAAATCTGCTAAGAAAAACAGATTCTGAACCATCCATAGTATGAAGAAGTCCAAAAGGCATGTATTTCCTTCTGGGTAAACGATGGCTGCAAAATGAGCCCAAATGAACTTAATCAGTGCCACTGAGAAGAGGCTGGCTTTTCCCATGTCACTTAGCCCCTGCTCTTTTATTTCTAATGTTCTTGTCAATTTTGCAAAAATCAAACACAGGGGAGAAAAGCAAACTGAAAATGGCTGTAACAGATACAGCTTTACTAGCATCAAGCCAAGTGAAAGGGACCACGGCCGGTAGCAATGTCAAGGTCCCAGAGATTAAGAAATTATTTTCTCCCCTTTCAGGTATGGAAAAATGGAGTCTAGAGTAAAGATAGCTTTTCATGAGTGCTGACCAAAACGTTTTAGCTTCTGTGACTATAGGAGGTCTTTTTAGTGAATTTTCATTTTAAATCCAAATGTCATCAAGTGAAGTTTGTGGCTTGTGACGAGCACTCTTTTTAAAACAAAGAAATAGAAGAGAAAATATAATATATCAAGCTATATGACAAGTAAGGATAAGTTTTATTTCATGAAACTTTGTGTTCAGTTCTGTATTTGTATGTCTTAGGTTGCAATGTAAAACATGGGGTTTCTTACTGAGTGAATTATAGTAAAAAAAAAAAGTGCGTTGGGAGACAGGCCTAGTAATCAGACTAATTTGTAAAGAGGGTTGGCATTCATCTGAATTGAAGAAAACAGCTGGCTAAATTAGCAAAGAAGGATTTAAACTATTTGTTTGGGCCAAAATAATATTAAAATAAGAATCTCTCAGTGGGCAAGGAAGAGATAATTTTCCACATAAAATTAGAAATAGGAAGGGAAAAGGAAGGAAGGAAGGAAGGAAGGAAGGAAGGAAGGAAGGAAGGAAGGAAGGAAGGAAGGAAGGAAGGAAAAAGAAAAATACAAAGCAAAAGAAGAAAAATTGGGAACCTTTTTGGATGAACATTCCGGGATATATACTCTACTTAAAACAGAACTTCAGATGCAGATAGAAAAAAAAAAGCAAGAAAGTATTTATTCCCAAGAGGGGGAAATCTCCATGAAGTTGAAATGATTCCTGAACAGCAGGGCCTGTTGGTAGGGGTTGTAACAGGCTTCTGATGAATAGAAGCAATGATAATTAACCTCTGTTAAATGCCAATTTATAACCTCCGGTACATTTCAACGTCACAACAACTTTATGAGGTAGACGCTAACATTTCTCCTGCAAGGTGGGTGACAGTGGATTAAATATATTAAACATTAAAAATAGTTATAGGAAAATATTCTTAGCTATGGGTATTAGACTGTGGAACTTTCCCCCTCAAATTCCTGATGGGCATGGTTTCCCATTCAGAGCAGAGGTTGAGGCAGGCAGTTCTAATATCTAATAATTCTAATCACAATACAGACAAGCCCAAAACGTATATGTAATCATATTGCTGATGTGTTTCTTCATCAAAACCAAAATAATGAATATTTTGCTTTCTTCTGAGAATGGCAAGTAAGTGAACATGTCATCCTTGTGTGGTTTTACTCCTGCAATTCTTTTGTATTATTAAATGCAATTATTCATATTAAAAAGAATAAATATTAATACTAATGATAAAATCAAATCTGATGACAGGATAAAAAATCAGTTAAAATTAGCAGGTCTCCTCATCTCAGTCCCTTTTTGCTCCAGCAGCATGTGATGAGAATTTAAACAAAGGTCTTTCTCTATATACTTTATAGAGTCATTTAAATTATAACTTCTGCTAATCCTATTCCCTGTGGAGGGGTGTCTTTTGCCTTTTTTCCTAGGGCCGATCACTATACTCTTTTCAGAGATATGGAAGAATCAAACCTATAAAATAACTTCATTAATTTTCATAAAAGCGCATTAATCTCACTTTTCAAAGTAATGCAGACAGCACTGCACAAATCTGGGTTACAAAGTTTAACCGAAAAGGTACTCGTGATGGAATGAAAGAGGATAAAGTGCACAGTTTTTTCAGAAAATGCTACTTAGGCTTACGCTGCCAAGGATCTTCTGCTAAAGGGCTAAGGTCTGGAGGTTTAGAAACTACCAGGAGAAATGTGCATTTCTGGGCCAGGGCGCAACTCTCCTTTCCTCACTGCGTTGGCATTCATGAGGGCCTTTATTTATTTTTGTATGAGGTGAAGCCACACTGTCGGATTCCTAACGCTTTTAGTGGGTGGCCTCGACTGGAGGTTGGGAGGTGAGGGATCAAGGTCCAGCCAGCTTTGCACGAAGACCTTTGGAATAGAAAGCAGGCCTGCGGAGTCAAAGTTGCAGGCAAGGAGGAGCGCTCAGCACGAAGTTGGCATAGGCAGACGGGTTCCCGTCCAGCTCCCCTACTCCGTAGCCATCTGCCTGCCTCTCAGCCTCGGTTTCCTTCCTTCCCTTCCCAGTGAAACGGGAACGGGAGTTCTCTGCGAAGATTAACCAAGGTAACCTATTTGTAAAAGGCCCTGGCATACGTCCACGTTCCATTTGGGTCTTTCTCAGATCAGCCGGGGCGAGTCAGAGCCCGCACCGCAGCGAACCCAGTCTGGAAGCGACCCGAGCCCGTTACCTGATTGGGTTGAGCGGCGGGTTTCGGAGGCGAATCAGCGCCAGGAAGCCCCGCAACCGCGAATACTCAGCCATGTTTCCTCGGTGCCAGGGTCGCCGCCGCCTCCCACCGCAGTCAGAGCTTCTTTCCCCGCGCGCCCGGCCCCCGCGAGGAGGGGCGCCCGCTGGGCCAATGCGAGCGCGGCGCCGCCTCCCGACGCCCATCCTCCGTCGCGGCTCTACCCCCGTAGTCGGACCCCAGCCCTGGGCTCTGCAAAAGCTCATCCCCTCTTTCTCTGTATTGGCTCCGCTCCCTGCTCCTACCCCCAAGTCGATTGGGGAGGACGATGGAAAATGGGTGGAATTGCCAGCGAGTCGAGGTTTGCAATCCCCTGGCCCACTTGGAGGAGTCAGACACAAGTCATTGCTCATGTCTCCCTAGTTTCCGGGAACACAGAACTTTCTGCTTTGCGACTACCTCCTACCCCTATTCTGCCCCTTGGGCAACCCTCTGTAAAATTTAAAGTTTAAGAGGGCGCTCACTCTCAGGTTCCTGCAAGTGCTGGCCCCGCCTTGCTCCTCAACAACACAAGGGCCCACGGGTTCCCGTCATCTGTCATCTAGCCCTCCTGTGTGGTGTCCGCCTGTGGGACTAGGGACACAGGGAGCGGATACCATGCTGATCTTTCTGTTGCTGTCTGTGTAAATAATAAACTGCCTGAGTCTATTCTGGGCTCGTATGGGCCGAATCTAAGTGTGGCAAGACAGTTTAGCAGATGCTAACATGCTGGTGGCGCTCAGTGGTTAGAGTATGGGGGGCCACTGGACAAAGGGTCAAGAGTTCCATTCCTGGTCAAGGGCATGTACCTGGTTGCCGGTTCTATCCTGGGCCTTTGGGGCATGTGTGGGAGGCAACCAATGGATGTGTCTCTTCCCGGCTCCCCCGCCCTCCGATCCTTCCACTCTCTAAAAATTAATGGGTAAATATCCTCGGGTGAGGATTGACCAAAAAATAAAAACAAAAAAATTGCACAATGTCATGGGCAGTGCCTTTATGTTTACCGTTCACATGTCTTTATGTTTATCTTCAGGAACTGCTTACATCAGGTAGAGCTCATAGGAGCTGATACTTAACCCCTCATTTCTGGGTAAATACGTATAAGAAGTTTGCCAGGAGAGAGGGGACTACTGTGTGAGAAATGAACTCAACAGTGTCCGGACCAGATCATTCAAATGGTTAAACAAAAAATTAAAGATTTTTCGAAGTGAGAGGCAACAAGCATTTATTTGAGATAGAAAACAATAGCTTTTTGGGGAATCACTGACTCAGGCAGAAAACCAAATAGTGTTCCAATTAGAATACAAAGGCAAAGGGTATTTATGGAAAGGAAAAGAGTGAACTTACATCCATAAAAGGAAAGCATTTCTATTGGTGCAGAAAAGCTAACATAGTGATGCAAATTTTAAAAAATATTTTTAATTTTCAGTCCAGTCATCATAGTATCTGTTTTCTTGCTATGTTTGCAAACAGTTCTTTGGGACACAATGTTGATTTAGGCCCGGTCCAAAGGTTATTTTGCCCTGTTTTAACATTCCAAAGGTTTGAGGCTTAAGATGTACAAGGCAATTCCTCTGGATGGCTGCTCTGGCTCCATTTTAAAGTGGCTACATTTATATTATTTTAAACAAAATGATCATCATAATTGTGTAATATCTACTAGGTTACATTGCTCTTGTCTCTTCTGAACTGGAATTTTCCCACTCTTTTTTTTACTTCCGAGTGAAGGTCTTGAAGGTGGATCTGCTTTTACCTTATTAACACCTTGAGACAAATTTCGGGGATGGGGGAGGTGGTGAGCATTTGGAAACTTCACCTCTGGGCCTAACCCTGCCACTAATTATATGACTTTTAATCCCTTGCTTCTCTGGATCCAATTTTCTTTACTTGTAACATCAAGAAGTTAACTAAATTATTATCACTAAAAAAAATGTACAGTTCTAACATTCTTTGGTTTTTGTTGTTGTTGTTGTTCTAAGGATAAATCTTCAACTCAGCTGTTCCCTCCTGTTTTTTCCTGGGTTGACTTTCTTCTGTCCATAATTTATTAAGTATCTTCATGTTTCTGAGGACAGGGTCTGGGTTTTATTCATCTTTCCCCCAGTATCTGGCACAATAACCAAGCAGGTGATTTCAACTAGGGCTGAAGTTAGTTCCTATTAAGATACCATCTTTGGCCCTGACAGGTAGTTAGAGCGGATTCCGGTCAAGGGCGTGTACCTGGGTTGCAGGTTCCATCCCGCCTAGTCCAGGCGCGTGTGGGAGGCAATCAATCGTGTGTCTCTCTTACAAGGAAGTTTCTCCCTCCCCCTTCCACTTTCTCTGAAAAATCAATGGAAGAAAAAAAAAATCCTCGGGTGAGGATAAAAAAAAAATACCATCTTTGTCCGGAGGAGCTCACAAATTAACGGGGAACGTGCTAAGCATCATTAAGTAATCACTTCAGTAAAAGCTGTAGAAAGGGTAACAGGAACACGGGTTCCTGCCTTCCTTATCATTTACATGGTCCAACAGGGTACAAGAGAGCTCTTGTAATAGTTAACGCTTGAGTGCTTTCCTTGTGCCTCCGCGTTCCACGTGTTAAGTCTCAAGTCACACCCCCCAAAACCCTGTGTCCTCCAGCAGTGTCACCTGCTCCCCACTGGAGGACACAGGCACGGAGCTTACGTAACCCGTTACCCCTGAGAGGCAGGTTCGGCACCGCGCTCCACCGGACGGAATCGGAAAAACCAGATGAATCCCAAGAACAAACTGGTGATTTCCCCGAGGGAACGGACGAGTTTGGAGGAGTGATGGGTGCAAGGTACAGAAGGAGCAGAGGCAAGGGTCTACTGACGAGAAGGCTGCAGAAGTTGGCACAGGAGTTTGAAAAACAAAAAGGCGCTTCTCGGGGCTGCATTACTCAGCGGCGATTAGGAAAGCAGGAGGGAAAGAACCGGTGAACGACACCTGCGGAGCCCCCGGATCCCGGGGTCCCAGGAACCGGTCGGAAATGACATCAATAGAGAGGCTGGGCGCTCAGCGGTACAGCGGCCTGGGGACCACCGGCCGGAAGTGAGGCGGCGGAAGTCCCGCCCCGGAGGCGGTGCCGGGTGTGAGGGGCGTCGCGATGGGCGGGGAGGAGCTTCGCTGATCCTCCAGGAACCCTGGATCCCCGACAGGTAACCTGCTGGCCGAACCTGGACCCTGGCGAGGCTCGGGGTTCGGGTTGGTGGCCCAGTTTGCTCGGGGCCCCACGCTCGGGCCGGGGGAAGTGGATCTCACGTGAAGGGGTGGCCCGGGGACAGGCTCCGGGGCGTGGGACTCCTAGGGTGATGGGGATACGAGAAACTTTGGGGACGGGGTCGTGAGGGCCGAGGTCGCCGAGGAAATACCGACTGAGTCTCCAGGACTCGGTCACGGCTGCGGGTCGTGGGCTCCGGAGCCTTGGCGCTCGGGGATGGAGAGATGGAGCCTGGGCGCTGAGGTGCGCTGACCTAGAGTTCAGTTGCCGCCTGCACTGAGCCCAGTGCAGCTCGGCGAGCAGCGGGCAGGGACTTGCCTTTTCATCTCTGCATCCCGTGCTTTGCCACGATGGGCGTCCTTCAGATGCCGTCGGGTAGGGACTGATGAACGCACGAAGCTGACTGCCGCACCGGGGGTGGGGGGTGCGGGTGGGGTCCGGGGGGACCTTGTCCCGAATTGTAGTGCCCCTGCCTCCGAATGTAGAAGTGACTCCAGCGTGGTTCGTTCACCAGTGGTTTATGCGGATGCCGGTGTGGTAGACATTCCGGACATTGTTTTGTGGTTATTGAAATTTAGAAATGTGCCCTCATATTTATTTTATTTTATTATTATTTTATTTAATTTATTTTATTGTATTGTGTTTATTTATTATTTTATTATTTTATTTTATTGGCATGGGAAGAGAAGGCAATTAATTTGACTTCTTTCAGGTTTCTTCACTATTCTGGAAAGAACTTCCGGATGAATGATACCGGGGAGGAGAGTTGGCCATCAAATAAGAAGCTGCAGCTTATAGCGCTGAGCTTCTAATTTGCGTTCTAAGTGCTTTCTTCTCATGAATATGAACTCATTTTCCTTTTTCTTAATATTTTCTTTTTTTATATTGGGGTTCCTTTACGTTTGAGATGTAAATGGGAATTATTTCATAACCAAGATAAAAGTAGTAATTTATGAAAATCCAGTCAGAGATTTCACCTGGTGGGTTCACATAAGGTTAACTCCTTCCAAACAGTTGTAGGAGGCCTCAGAGAGAATAAATCACAGAAGATTAAATTGTTTCCTTTGTAAACTATTTGTTCTGATGTCTTAACTGTGATGAAAAGTGGGAATAGATATAAAGAGCAAGTACTGTAACCAGATTGGTGTTGGTTGTCAGGCTGTGTAATGGGATCTGAGCATGAATCACTAACTGCAGTCCCAGGAGGTTCTAGATCTTATTATTAGATTGGATATGATGCAGTAGGCAAACCTGAATTTATGGCTTTGTTTTTGTTTTTGTTTTGTTGCTTTGGTGTGTGTTTTTTACAAAGAAGAAACTAGTAAGCATTTTTAGATTAAAAAAAAAATCTAAGATGTTCTTAAAAATAGGTTGGGGAAAAAAAGAAGTAGACATGTAAATAAATATTGCAGTCATTTAAATTCTAAAAGTTTGCCTGCCTTTCAAACTTGTTTTCCCAATGTCTGGAAAGTGTTGGTATCCAAATCACCCCCATCATTGTATGTTTTTGCTTTGCTGTCAACTTTTCAATGTATATAAATATGGTATAAAGTTAGGTTTTGAGACCCTCTAGATTTACTTGAATATTAATGTCTTACTTAAAAATAAAGTTTAATTTTGCTTCCTCAATCTGCTGTTCAATGTCATATCCACTTACTTTGCACATCTAAATGTCTGTATTCATAATGGTAACTATTGTAACTAGTATTCATAATAAATTGGTATCCAAGTGGTGACTTAGGTTTGTGCATTGACATTCTTGAGGTTTTCAGTTTTGCAGAACACTGGTATCCATGGACTCTAACATGGACTTCATTTAAAGAAATCCACGGACCATTAACGGACAAAAACATGAGTCATTTTGTATTGTGGCATTCAAATCCTAGCACTTTGGGAAAGGTAAGTTATTGACTGTGTTTTATTTTAGATGAGAGAACAGCACTGGATTGGAATAAGAAATTGTGGGATTGTGATTGAAAAATATAGGCTGAATCTGTTTAAATTAAGTTTTAATGTGGACCTTCCAAAGAGAGGTTTGCTCTGTGTTTATGAAGCAGTCCTTACTATTTCCCTCTATATCGTTCCTGAAAGATTACTACTTTGCTTTCTTTTTTCTTTTCTTTATTTCTTTCCCTTTTTTTTTTTTTTTTTTTTGAGAGCTTCTGTCAACACTGGTAGTTTGGTAGAGTCTTATCAACCTATGGGTACCCTATAGCAATTAGGCCTCAAATAGTCATTTAAATAATCTTACATCAACTTTGGTTCTAGAATAATATAAGTCTCAAATCTTCTGGCCAGTTTTATGCCTTAATCTTAGGTTGAAGCAAGAAAAGAGGCCCCAAAATCTCTTTTTTTCCTTATCCTGTCTTATTAGTGCTATTTTCTTTTTTGTTCTTCTTTTCAAAAAATCTCTCAGATGATTCATTCTCCGGGCCTTTTATCTTTCTATCCCAGGGGATAAATTTTCTCTCTTTTTCTTTTTTACCTTTGCTAGCTTAATTAATTTGTTAATTTTTACAACCTTAACTTCTAATTTTGTTTGGCACCTTTTAATCACTAAGCTTTAAACTTGTGGTTTTCCTTATCTCCTTTGTAAATACACTGGCTTCTTATGTAGAAATTGTTAAATTCTAAAATCAGACAGTAGTTTCAGGAATTCATCTTTTGGATATATTTGTACTTGCACACAAAAATTTGTATATAAAGATATTCATCATATTATTATTTTAAATAGGCAAACAAATAAATAAGTAAAAACTACAAGTAGCCTAAACATCCCCCACCAAGGTATGATTGAATAAATGCCTTAATATAATATAGTACTTTGCAACTCTTAGAAAGAATGAAGCAGATCCATAGGTGGAAATATGGAAAAAATCTCTGTGAGATACATTGTTAACTGAGAAAAACAGCACAGAACTGTATGTACAGTATATTTCAAAAGCATACACTTATATATGCATGCAAAATTTCTTTAAATCTATATAATACATTGTTATGTTATATTTATTCAGATAGATAGATAAATAGATAGATAGATAGATAGATAGATAGATACATGATTGACACAGGTACTCCTGAGGAATGAGACTACAGGTCTAGAATAGGAAGACTCATTTTTCTGTATACTCTTTCTGGTGGATTAATTTTTTTTATGTGAACATGATTTCATTTTTACAATACTAAGAAATGAACAAACAGCAAAGCTTTAGACTGGTTTCATAATTGAGGGAGCCTACTACTATTCCTTATGACTTTTGCCCTTATAAGTACGTGCACTAGTCAGAGGAATGGAGTTGCATAAGTGAGGTAAGTTTTTTTTACAGAGCGACATGGAAGGTTTGGTGATATAATAGGTTTTTAACCTTGACATTAGATTATTACTCTTAATAAGGATTTGTGATGAACTAAGTGCTTAGTATTGGCGAATTCAATACAGCTATATAGTTTATAGCATGCTGCTGAATTCATGAGGTGATGCGGATGATACTTTCATTTGCAAGCTAGGTTTGTATTGCATTGGCCAGGTTCTTGCCAATGAGCTTCTCATTAGTGAATGGGATGGGCTTTGTTTTATTCGAATTGCTATTTAGGTACTCTACTCTTTAAATAGATCTTAGTTATTATTTCACTTCGTTTTGATTTTTAGAAATGGCCTAAGGCATTTCAAAGAATGGCTTGTTCTCTCTGTTAGTAAAATCATAAACTAGAAAGATAATTTAGATATATATGGATAGTCTTATTCTGTACTGATGATACTACTTTGAATTGGCTGATGATTTGCTTTGGGATGCAGCAAAATTTCTGGTGACTTTCACTTCTCTAGCCATCTTTGTCTTTCCACACTTTCACTGTGGGAACTTTGGAATAATAGTAATAGGTGAGTAAAATGAGTTAACAAGAAATTTAAAGATATAGTAATCTTCATTTCATTTGCAATCTGCTGAGAATGAGCTATGTAAGATACCTACCCATATGATACCACAGATTGTGTAACTTGTTAAAAATCAAAATGAAGGCCACTAATCTAGGGACTGCATCATGATTCATGGAATAGGACAGTTATAGTATGTCAGGTGTTTTATACCATAGTTTGACAGAGTATTTTTCTTATAATCATTGCAGTTAAATGATGCTTTGATTTGCTTCTTGAGATCCTTGGGTTTAATCACAACTAGCCACACAGTGAAAAATCATTGGGCAGAATGCCTAGAGTGGGACTCCTCCTTATTCTTGCTAACAGAATGGATAGCAAGGAATTGAATCCAAGGGTTGATTGTGTTTTCTGGGTCTTGATGAATATGGTAAATGTAACATATAGGAAAAAAAGGAGATGAGCATGAAGGTAAAACTTACATGTAGATAACATAGAAATGGGGAAGATACATGTATATATATGTTTATGCATATATGTGGGTCTATTCACATAGATATATAATACATTGTGTATATAAAATGTGTATATATTATTTTACACATAAACTATTTACAATTTTTTTCTGGAAAACAAAAAATTCTAGGAAGATACTCAATTAATCCAAGAGGAAAAAAAGGTCAGAATTTTAAGGCCTCAGAGCTGGGCCTGTCATAGGCTAGCTCATGATTGTGAAAGTAGCTTGAAGAATTTTGTCTGTTTTAGTATCATTACAGGAAATAAGTGATGGGAAGGTAGATAAAAGCCTAAGAGTGAGAACATTTAAATCTAGCACTATGTTATGGTTAAGGGTATCTTTAAGATTCTGTTTTGTGGTATTTGGGAGGGAGGGATGGCAAGAAGGAAGAACTGAAAAATTTATTGCTGTTCAATTAGAATTCGAGCTATGTCCGTAAGTCTTTCCTAGTATTCCAATTGTGTATGACCAAGATGGATTAACTAGATCTATTAAACTACAAAACTTGAATGTCTAAAAATTGGTTTCATTGTTTGATAAACCTTGAAGGAAAAGATAATTGTTTTAATCATTTTTGTGACTAAATGAAAGGGCAACTGTGATGATCTAGATTGAGGGGACTGGGACTATTTTGTTCAGAAAATAGAAGACTTTAGAAGAGTTGGAGAAACTTCATAGGGAGTACATTTGTTTCTGTTGAGGCCAAAATTAATTCTAGCTGAGAGAAGGTATAGAGTTTGTCAACAGTGGAGCAGATTGTGTCAAGAGGCAGTGAACTGCAGTTCATTAGGGTTGCTTAAGCGAGGTTTGAACATCAGCAAAGCTGCGGAGGGGATTTCTCAATGTATGGGAGATCGTACTAGATTAATAATGAAAGTTGCTTTCAAACCTAAGATTTTTTTTATAGTGCAATAAAGTGATTTTTAAAAATAGCACAAGTATCTATTATCTCTATATTTAAATACTGATAGGTAACTTATCCCTGGTCATTTTTCCACCAAGCTCCACTTACCCATAACCAGGAAATAAATTTAAAAATTAACCCCAAATATAAGACACACACTATATGCTTTTCTCAGGTCCTTTCTCAGTTTATTTACTTAGACATAGTTCTAACAGGCTTAATTAACTGGCACCTAACTTCACAGTGTATTAGAAGCAGCAAATTGTTGCTGTGCCAAGTGCTCCTATTAGAGACAAGCACGTTGACAAGCAAGGGCAAGAAGATAATCAGAAAACAAACCAACTAATTTTAAAATTGTAATAACCCAGGCTCATTTGACTAGATGAAAATAGCTCTATGTTAATGGATATTCAAAATGATAAGTTTGAACTTAAGTCATGTTCAGCATTTTCTATTTAAGAAAATTATAAAATTTTAGAAAGATCTCTTCAGTGTGTTTAATAACAAAAGACAGATATTTGGCATTTGCAGGGGCTGCATTGTCCTATATAATAAAAGCCCAGCGACCAAAATGGTGGAATGACCAGAGACCAAAATGACCACGGCCCCTCACCCCGGCCGACAACCCCCCAGCAAGTGGTTAGGGGCGATCAGGCAGGCAGGCAAGCAGTTAGGGGCAATCAGAGAGGCAGGCAGAGTGGTTAGGGGAGATCAGGCAGGCAGAGGCAGTTAGGGGCGATCAGGCAGGCAGAGTGCTTAGGGGCAATCAGGTAGGCAGAGGCAGTTAGGGGCAATCAGGTAGGCAGGCGAGTGGTTAGGGGCGATCAGGCAGGCAGGCAGAGTGGTTATGGGCAATCAGGCAAGTAGAGGTGGTTAGGGGCGATCAGGCAGGCAGAGGCAGTTAGGGGCAATCAGGAAGGCAGACAAAGTGGTTAGGGGTGATCAGGCAGGCAGGCAAGTGATTAGGGGCGATCAGGAAGGCAGGCGAACGGTTAGGGGCCAGTGGTCCCAGATTGCGAGAGAGATGTCCTGTGGATCGGGCCTAAACCAGCAGTTGGACATCCCCCGAGGGGTCCAGGATTTCGAGTGGGTGCAGGCTGGGCTGAGGTACACCCTCCCCTCCACCCCTGTGCACGAATTTCATGCACCAGGCCTCTAGTAGAGTAGAAAGAATATGGATTCTAGACTAGTAAAGACAGGTTTGAATATGGCCCCCAGGATCTATTACATGTTCTATAAATTAAGTTTATTATTCATTCCAAACTTCAATCTCATCTGGAAAATAGGAATTTACTCAAGAATAAAGATAATGTAGGTAGATTTGCCTATATTAGGTGATAAGTAATAACTATTATTATTTCATTATTACCATAAAGCTCACTCTACCTTGAATGTTTTAATTGTACAGATAATCCATATATATATAGGGGGGGGGAGATATTAGGATATGTATATCACCAAAAAGATAAAAAGAGTAAAGTCGCCTATATTCTTCTACTACTGTCAATATTTTAGTGGCATGCTTTATTTTAAAACTGCTTTGACAGGATGGCACTTCTGAGAAGTGATTGTTGAAACTACTGTTGGGAAACTTAAATTAGTCACTACAGATTCTAATCAGAATATATGCAGTGAAAGATGGTTACAGGGCACAATGCTGATTTGCAGGAAATCTTAGTCCTGATCAATTTTCTTGCATGAAAACCAGTTTTGTAGAGCATTGGATGTAACTTGGTGTTCTGGAGCTGGAAGACCTGAGTTTAAACCCTAACCCCACTATTTCTCAGCTGGATAAACTACCTCCATTTCTTCTCTGTGGCCTCAATTCCTTCATCTGTAAATTGGGGGTAATAGTAGTATCTCATTCATGGGGCTGCTGTAAGGACTTAAGTGAATTTATATAAAGTATGAAGAGCAGTGCCTGGCACAAAGTATAGACTCAGTAAATATTACTTGCTATTTTTATCATTAATTTTTAAAACCTTAAGGTTTTCTTGGGAGGAAAAGTCAGGTTGATAGGAGCACATAAATTAAAAAGAAGCAAGTTAGAAATAGCACAAAAGTAGTCAGTAAGATTTATGATATGTTATTCATTTGAACCTGCAGAGTGTTCTGAATTTTTTCATTCTTAAGGCTTTGTTACTTTTCCTCCCTGCTTGAATATTTTCAAACCATAATATTCCTAGTTCAATCTCTTTACCCCATGAAATCAATTTCATTTTATTTCATCTTTTCCAACAAATATTTTGGCCATGCTTTCAAAGACCAAAAGCCCTTTAAGACAATCAGATGTCATGGATAGTGATTCAGGAAATAATCATTAAATCAGTTTATTTTACTACAGCCCAACGTGGTTCAGTAAGAACTTTAAATTCTGTTTCAATTTAAAGTGAAGAATATTAATCAAATAGATAAGTCAATGGACATATTAAGCTATTCTGTACACTATATTCCTTAAAAATCTATTTTCTTTTTCTTTTTGTTCTTTCATCATGGTATCTAGTGTTCTGATTAATTACTGGTCAAAGAGTTATAGCTTTTCAAAATCCTTTAAGCAATTTTATTAGATTTGCTAGTAGAATTTGTGTGTGTTTGTTTTGTTTTGTTTTAAAGCATCAAGTACAAGTTTTTGAAGACCCTGAGGCCTACCATCATTATGCATTCAAGATTTGAGTTTGAATAACTTCATCAAGACTTAGATCCTCTTCAAAAGTCTCAAGTTTCATCTGCATTAAAGCTCTCCATTGAACTCTGTCACAAAATTAAAAGCGTAAAGGGACTAAAATCCATTAGTACATTCCATTGTATACCCTTTTCTCTGATCGCTCCAATTTCCTTCACCGTAGGGTCTTTCATATTGCTTATGTTCCTTTGCCTAGAGCCAAGGAAACAGCGTTTTCCGGAAGAATATATATCCTGTGATCATAAATTTTCATTGCTAGAGAAGTATAAACTTGGCAGGATCAGTTTAGAATCACATCTTTTGTTGTGGCCTATAAAAACTTGAGTTAACAATAAGAAAAGGAGGACGAAGTAGTAAAAATATTTGAGGTCAGATTTTACTCTCTGAGACTATGTGGTTTAGAGAAAAGAGCCCCAGCCTGAAAGTTGATGGTTCTTATTCTCTCTGCCTCTTCTAACTGGGAAAATCACTTAACTGCTCTGAGCCTTAAGTTCATCTGAAAAGTAAATCTGATAGTATTTTCCCTGCCTACCTCACAGGGTTGTTGTGAGGATTAACTGAAGTCGTGTGCATAAAAAGGACTGTTAGATAAAATGTGCAATATAGACATACTTGCAAGTCAGCCCCTCAGCTTTTGGACCTGGGAAGGTAGGTGATTTAAGCACACTGAAGGCACTATGTCCAGGTTGGAAATGTGGTAACAAGGCTGTGTTGATTTTTGTTTTCTCGGAGTACATAGAGTTCTCTTAGGGGCTAATTCTAAGAAGGAGGACGACTATAAATAGCCCTAAAATTATAAGTTAGCATTGATAATGTTCTAGAGCTGTTATGTCTTGTAACATATTTGTGGTTTGCAAAATTTGTTACTAAGCTGTGACCCACATTAAAAATATTTTTTTATTTAAACATTTTATTTACTTATTTTTTAATATTTTTATTTATTTCAGAGAGGAAGGGAAAGGGAGAGAGAGATAGAAACATTATTGATGAGAGAGAATCATTGATTGGCAGCCTCCTGCCTCCTACCAGGGATCAAGCCCAAAATCGGGGCATGTACCCTGACCAGGAATCAAACCATGAGGTTCAATCAACAACCACTGAGCTACACTGGCTGAGTGACCCACATTTTTTAAAAAAATGAATGAACATAAAGCAGAAAACTTCACAGTGCATCTCACCTGGTAATAATCAATAGTGTTTAATAGTGTTTTAGTTGTATATGTGTGTGTGTGTATTTGTGTACTTGGTTGTTAAATAAAATGCATTTTTCCTATGAGTTGCAATTGCTTTTCTAGGAGTATCATTTTAGTTCTAATGCCTTTCTACACATTTGGATTCCTAGGAGGCTGTTTCTTTTCACTTCATACTGCTTGTAATAAAAGAATTAACAATATCAAGTTTGCCCTAACTGGTTTGGCTCAGTGGATAGAGCGTCGGCCTGTGGACTCAAGGGTCCCAGGTTCGATTCCAGTCAAGGGCATGTACCTTGGTTGCGGGCACATACCCAGTAGGGAGTGTGCAGGAGGCAGCTGATCAATGTTTCTCTCTCATTGATGTTTCTAACTCTCTATCCCTCTCCCTTCCTCTCTGTAAAAATCAATAAAATATATTTAAAAACAAACAAACAAACAAAACAATATCAAGTTTGACTTGGTGAAATTAATGGGATATTTAAAAAAAATTTTAGAGTACAGAGAAAGCCTATAGGTTTTCTGGGTATTTTATATAATATTCTAATACCATTTACTCTGATACCCAGACTGTTAATAACATTTTTTTTAAAATATATTTTATTGATTTTTTACAGAGAGGAAGGGAGAGGGATAGAGAGTTAGAAACATCGATGAGAGAGAAACATCGATCAGCTGCCTCCTGCACACCCCCTACTGGGGATGTGCCCGCAACCCAGGTACATGCCCTTGACCGGAATCGAACCTGGGACCTTTCAGTCTGCAGGCCGACGCTCTATCCACTGAGCCAAACCGGTTAGGGCTGTTAATAACATTTAATATTGGTTCAACCTCACACTAGTAGAAACATTATATGAAACTAGAGGCCCGGTGCATGAATTCATGCACCAGTGGGGTCCCTCTGCCCTGCGAGATCGGGCCAAAAAACCAGCTCTCCAACATCCCCTAAGGGATTCTGGATTGTGAGAGTGCACAGGCCAGGCCGAGGGACCCCACCAGTGCACTATTGGGGCTGGGGAGGGCCACATGAGGTTGGCTGGCAGGGAGGGACCATAGGAGGGCTCCAGGATGTGTCCGGCCCATTTTGCTCAGGCCTGATCAGCAGGACCCCAGCAGCAAGCTAACCTACTGGTCAGAGCATCTGCCCCCTGGTGGTCAGTGCATGCCATAGCGAGAAGTTGAGCGGCCTTAGGCTATCATTAGCATATTACACTTTGATTGGTTGAATGGCCAACCGGCCGACCAGACACTTAGCATATTAGGTTTTGTTATATAGGATGTTTTTCCTTTAAATACTAGAGGCCCAGTACACAAAGTTCATGCATGGGGGATGGGGGTCCCTCAGCCCGGCCTGCGTCCTCACAATCTGGGACCTCTCAGGGGATGTTGGGCCTAAACCTGCAGTCAGACATCCTTCTTGCAATCCGGGACGCTGCATGCACTAGTGACCATACTTTTCATACAGATGTTACAGGTGAAAAGCATCTTGCTGTTGTATGGGCAGCTACATTTTTTTGCCCTAAAAAGTAGTACATAACATGATCCTTCTGAGGTAGTAGTACCATTTTCCCCATCTCATGGGTGGAAAAACTGAAGCAGAGAGAAGTTAAGTAATTGGCTTTGTCACACAGTTATAAGTGTCAGAATCAGGGCTGACCACAAAGTGTGCAAGCCAGAGTCCATGCATGTCATTGCTGCATCATCCTGTTTTTTCAGTGTTAGAGTAGCCTTGCCAACTTTTAATTTTTAAATCTAAGAGACTGTTCCCAATATATAGGGTAGGGTCCCTAGGCCTAGCCGGCAATCAGGACCATCTGTGGGGCAACCAGCGGGCAGGGCAATCGGGGGGCTCTGCTGGCACCTGCCTTGGCTGGCAGCCTGGTGCCACCCGATGGCCGACCCCATCCCCTGATGGCCGCCGCCGATTGCCTACCTCTGGGGGGAGGGGGGGGCGGGCAGATGCTCAATGCAGCTCCTGCATTGAGTGCCTGCCCCCTGGTGGTCAGTGCGCATCATAGCATCTGGTCACTCCTCTAGTCATTCCGCTATTTGGTCTATTTGCATATTATGATTTTATTATATAGGATTTTGTTACTTTTATTTTTCTGGCCTAATGGCAAACAAAACACTCCCACTTAGCTTAGCATTGTTTGAGGATCCCTGGAAGATAGGCTACAGAGAATATAATTCCTATGACTAAGAGCCTCTCTAGAAGCGAAAATGCCATTTTTTCTCTCTGAATAACTAAATGTGTCTTTATGATTTAAAATAAATAAGTCACTGAATAACTAATTTAACTGTTTCTCTAAAAACAGATATCCACCTTTTTGGTAATAGCATTGGTTATAGCATAGGTATAACCTTATTTGGTAATAGCATAGGACTTTTGTAGTTCCTATGAACAACAATAGGAAATGGCTTTTTCTTCGAAGGGTTGTATATTCCAACTCTTGGTGAAGAACTTATTCTTTAGTGTACTGAAAAATTACATTTGGTGCCCTGGAAATATTTAAGTTTGGATGGAATATTATAGCAGAAAATATTTTTTTCTTTACAAATTATATAAATATATATAATTCTAGCGACATGAATATTTATCAGATGATTTAAAATGTAGAATCCAAGTTCTTTATTTTTCTGAACAGTCATAGCCAAACTTCATGCATTGGTAGAAACAGAACAAATTGCATAGATTGTGCAAATTGAGACTCTTTAGTAGCATAAAGGTTCATTATTATATACTAGAGCAGTGGTTCTCAACCTTCCGAATGCCGCAACCCTTTAATACAGTTCCTCATGTTGTGGTGACCCCCAACTTCATTGTTACAAATTGAACATAATTAAAGCATAGTGATTAATCACAAAAACAATATGTAATTATATATGTGTTTTCCGATGGTCTTAAGCAACCCCTGTGAAAGGGTCATTCGACCCCCAAAGGGGTCGCGACCCACAGGTTGAGAACCGCTGTACTAGAGGCTTGGTGCATGAATTCGTGCACAGGTGGTGTCCCTCTGGGTAGCCTGCAGGGATCCAGCCAAAACCCACAGGTTGAGAACCGCTGTACTAGAGGCTTGGTGCATGAATTCGTGCACAGGTGGGGTCCCTCTGGGTGGCCTGCAGGGATCCAGCCAAAACCCGCAGTCCAACCCTGCCTGTAGCTCCTACCTGCTGCTCTTGCTCATCCCGGCCCCACTGTGCCTGCCGTGATCGATCGGGAGAAGGCTCACGCTGCTGCAGCAGCACTCACCAGCCATGAGCTCTGCATCTGGCACCCTCCCAAGGGGAGTGGCCTGCAGGATCAGGCTGAAACCGGCTCTTCGACATCCCCCAGGGGTCTCGGATTGTGGATTGCGAGAGGGTGCTGGCCAGGCTGAGGGACCCCCCACCGGTGCACAATCATGCCGGGGATTGGGCCAGGGAGGGACCGCAGGAGGGCTCTAGGACGTGTCCGGCCCATCTTGCTCAGTCCCCATCAGCCGGACCCCAGAGCCAGTTGAAGCATCTGCCCCCTGGTGGTCAGTGCACATCATAGCGAGCGGTTGAGCAACCTTAGCATATCATTAGCTTATTACGCTTTGATTGGTTGTTCGATTGTTCTGCCATTCAGTCTATTTGCATATTACCCTTTTATTATATAGGATGACCAGCATTTTGTTGGCCCTCTCAAAAGAATCACATTGAAATTTATCTTTTCTCCGTGGAAAAGGTAGGATTTACACACAAAAGGTTAAGAAAAGTAGGTAGGTAGCCTCAGCCTCTTTGACCTTCTTCCACCCTCATAAATCTAATTCATCATCAAATTATCTTTTCTACCTCCTGAATTTCTTAGAACCTATCCATCTCTCTGTTCTCACTACACTTATGATATCACCATCATGTCTACACTTCTGCAATAGCTCTTAACTGGTCTCCTGAATTCACTCTTCTCTCTTCTAATCTCATTGTTTTTAGAGTCATCTTTACAGCACACAACTCTCATCTTTTTGGTCTCCTGTTTAGAATTCAACCTAAAATCTCCATCCAT